AGATTCCTAAGCATCAGGCCAGGTGTGGTGGCTCAAGCCTGTAATCCCAGCAGTTTGGGAGGCTGAGGCAGGTGTATCAACTGAGGTTGGGAGTTTGAGACCAGTCTGACCAACATGGAGAAACCCTGTCTCTACTAAAAATACAAAAATTAGCTGGATGTGGTGGCACACGCCTGTAATCCCAACTACTCTGGAGGCTGGGGCAGGAGAATCGCTTGAACCCAGGAGGCAGAGGTTGAGGTGAGCTGAGATTGCACCATTGCACTCCAGTGTGGGCAACAAAGTGAAATTCTGTCTCAAAAACAACAACAACAACAACAACAACAACAAAATCAACAAGAAAAAAGTGTGGAAAAGGTTTGCTTGAACCAAACAACCTGTCAACTTTCTAAGAGGAATTAGGACCTCATAAAAGCCAGCCAACGTGTATATTGACTGTGTTCCTTATAAAATGTCTTTTTTTGTGTCCTGAAGATGATCATTGTGTCCTGATACTTAAGTGACCCTTGGGACTGATCTGACTGAGTTGACCGCTAGAAGACTAATTGCTTAGAAGGAAGTTGATCCGACTGTGGGCAAAGGCAATCTGACATCTCTTCTGCTCTGAAGGTGCTTGACAGATGCTAATCCTTGCACTAACCAGATTCAAAGACCTGAAACCTGCATGGAGAGCCAGGTGGGCTGCAGCCACTGTAAAGGAGCTTCTTCTGCCTCATGGTTTCTCAACCTTGGCATTATTGCCATTTGGGGCTGGACGCTTCCTTGTTGTGGGAGACTGTCTTGCACGTTTTCCTGACCTCTACCGCTAGATGCCAGAGGCACACTGTACTCCATTTGTAACAAACATAATGTCTCTAGACATTGCCAAGTGTTCTCTAGGGGCAAAATTGCACCCCCCCCCCACACACCCAATTGAAAACCACTGGAATAGGGCAACATTTTCAAACTAGGGTGTATCAGAATCTCCTAGAAGGCTTGTTGAAACACAGATTCTTGGGCACCATCCTGAGTTTGATTCAATAAGTTTTGGGTGGGACCTGAAGATTTTCAATTCTCTAAAAAGTTTCTGGATAACAACACATACTCAACTAGTTCAGCTTAGTTCTACCTAGAACAGAGGGTGAAGTTCTGCTTTCACTCTTCCCTCCTTAATACAAGGTGTGCAAGTCCCTACTTTCCTACAAAGCCTGGCTTGATCAGCCTTCCTCCTCTAGCCTTATGTTTTGGGTATCAGCACTATATTCAGCTCCCGAGAATGGCTCTCATAGCATCTGAGTCATGTGTAGTGATCCCATTCTTCTTGCCAGTGATTAGTAGAGACATATGATAAAATTCTGGCTCACGAGATGTGAGGTGATGTTTTATCTCATTTTTAAAAGAAGGAACAAAAAGGAGACAGCTGCAGTCTCGTACTGAGCATTAGTTTTAGATGTGATGCCTGGTACTGTGGCAGACATATTGTGACTATCAGGAGAACAATCTTAGTGTAGTGCTGATGCACCCGGGGTGGCAGTGAAGGAAGATGGAAAGAACCTGGATCCGTGATAATGGCTTCGAAGCTGTCAAATTAGCCAACCCTGGATTCTCTCTTATCTGGACTTAGGTGTAATCCACTCTGAATTTTTGTTATTTCTAGCAAAGTACCCTGACTCTAGCATGGATAGATACAGATAGCATGTGTCTAGAGCTGTGCTGTCTGATATAATAGCCACTAGCCACATATGGCTATTGAAATTCTATTTAAGCAAAATTAAACCTTTGCCTTTCCTTTTGCACTAGGTACGTTGCAAGTGATCAATAGCCACATGTTGCTAGGGGCTACCGTATTGCATAGCACTGGTCTTACAGATCTTATAGGCAAGACCAGTGCTACACAATACGGTAGCCCCTAGCAACGTGGTAGCCCTGAGATTAGGTTAGGTGGATTCTCAATTTTTCTTCACACTCTTTTTCTAATTGTTCCCCCTCTATAAGATTTTAATTCCATATATATTATATGTGCTCTATCTATGCCTGTTCCTTACACATTGGAAAGAGTAAGACTTATCCCCTCTCTATTCCTCCAGAACCAATTTTCACCTCCTTGGAGGTTGAGACTGTTCCCTGTTGCAAATACATGGCTAGTGTGGTAGTCGTAAGGAAGTTTAGGCAGGGATTTTAGGTCACTGTAAAGAATTTGGATTTTATTAAAATTAGGAAACAATGAAAGAATTTTAAGGATAGGATTGGCATGGTCAGTTTTGCCTTTAGAAAGTCACTTCATAGGCAGAGGGGCCAAGATAGCTGATTAGAAGCAGCTGCAGTACTCATGGAGAGGAATGAAAGTGGCGAGTGAACTTAGCACCTTCAACTGAAATATCCAGGTTCTGTT